GATCGCTCAGTACCTATAAAAGAAATGCTCTTCAGTTATTTTGTATGTGGCTAGTGCAACGCGCAGCTCGAACTCAGTAATTCAACACAGTAACGGAAGGCCAACGCAACGATGGAAGTGCCAGTTTCGTTTCCTGACGGAAAACAGCATAGTGATTTGCCATATTTGTGAAACGGTACTGCCAATATTGTTCATTAGCTGGCTTTGCCAATAATTGTTGCCGTTCTTACAGGATGGCTGTGCCAATACTGCGTGTAGGATGGCAAAGATGTGCAATGTTTTTCTCCTCTACAACGGCGGTGGCAGTAATACATCTTTGCTGGCTACGATGGCTCTTTGTTGCAGTTCCTGTAGGACTGCGATACCAATAATACATTTTGGTTGGCCACGAAGTACCGCCTTTGGCAACATTACAGGCTAACTCTGCCAACTTTGTTTTGTAGGAGCACGGTTTTGTAGGGCTTTTTTGGGACCATCGTTTGCTTACATGTACTGAATAATGGCCCAATGTGCGGTGCGGCCGGGGTACTATCCTGATGAACTTTGTCAGGAGTACCTATGCTTTTTCCGTCACGCAGCTCTGCGATGCTTGTCGTGATGCGAATATGAAGGTCGACAAGCAGGGGATGATCGCCCTCAATAACGCCTACAAAGTGTGTGGATAATGTGGTCTTCGCAAAAATGTGAATGCTAGTAAGCAGTGGAACGGTGACCTGCTATGCTACGATACGAAAGAGTGGTTTCCCGGCGTCCCGTTTGCCGTACACTTTTTCTGAGGTTAGTTTATAAATACTTAAGAAGTCCGCACCACGTTTTACGTCCCTGTAGCACGTCTGTAAGATTAAGACGCAGGTGAGATAAGTTCAGTCATTTGTGTTGACTCCTGCAGAGCAAATTCTAGCGGATATTACAAGATGACGTACAGCGGGGAAGACTTCAGGACCTTTCCAAGTAGCTTCCATTTTCTTCAAATTTGTTGCAAAAGGCGAGCTGAAAACGAAATGGTCAGCTGCACTGTCACTGAGAGTTGTTATTGTGGCCATCAAATATTATTTCGAGTATCCTAGTTCATCATCTTGCGCTGCGTTCGGGTCGAAGCATCAGACCTCACCAACAACGGTTTGCTTTTCAGCTTGCACACGATGTCATAAGGCCTTTCGGCCGCGATGTTTTGGCTTCAGGGCTTCGTCCTAGTTTTCGCGCGCACTTGAGGTATCCTTGGAGCGTGGTCGTCGGTGGAGGATCTTTGGTGGTTCTTCGAATAGCAACAACCTCTTCATCGGTTACTGTCCTTAGTTTTCGTGAAAAGGGCTCGTAGATCGGCCCCGAGCATGGCTGGCGTACTGCATTCAATGAGGTGAGGTGTGGCGTACTGGCGATGGTGAGTGTAACGCTTGTCAGGGAGTTAATTCAGTGATCATCAAGTAGTCGGCGATGTCTCGTGGTCACTCATCGCACTGTAGATGCGGTGCGTTTATGGCTAATCTGCATAGGCTCATCTTTGCGTGCTGGTAACGGGTAGGTGTGAACTCTTTCTCCACAGTGCTAGCTCTGAAAGTGGTTGTCAAGGTGACGCCAAACCTGCGTTTTCACCAGTGCACTGCACTGTTCACAGGTTAACTGAATGGTACTAGTGGTGACTGCGGCATCTGAGGAAGGTAGTGTGGTTGGGCGGAGTTTTGACATTGTCTCGAAGGGATATCGCCACAACGAAGAGTAGCAGCGTAACTCATTGCTTCCAGCTGAAGCTGCGGTGCTTCGTGAATTCTAACCAAAGGTTTGACTCCCTCGCAGACAAAGTTAGCAATCGAATCCACTCGAGGCCGCGAATACCCAAAGACAATACACTGAACTTCACGCACAATCACTATGATGCACTAGACGATGCCACTTCAATAATTGAAGGCCCGCTCACTGTTACTGCTATGTGCTCTAACGTGACGTCATTGGGCCATCATGTTTCGCCGCACAGACGTCCTTACGCTTGCTCCCGCCTCTCTATAGCGATGGGTGGAAAAGCCTGACGAATGCTTTTGTAGCGTGCTGGTGTGATTGTTAGCTACTGCAGAATATCATGTTTCTTGGTATCTGTGAACTTCTGTGGGCATGCGTGAGGCCCTTTGTGCACTGGTTATTTGCATAGCATACTGCATCTAATCTGCTCGATGGGGTGATGCTGCATGCCATATTGTCGCGACAATAACGAAGATGGGCGAAAGATGTGATTATTTTGTTTCTAAGAAACAATGGAAGACAGGAATTGGAGGGAGCCGTTCATCGAAATACCGTCGGCATCCGTTATCTTCGTGGCTTGAAGGTGTGTATAGGTCCAGTCCGTACTCCGTACTTCTCTGTCGTTCCACTAGCACCATCTCGAACATGCTTATATCTTGATCTAAAATAACGATGTCGTGTGCTTTTTGTTTTGCGTAAGCCTTGGCACTCAAGCAATAAACGCATAGTGCAGGACATTTTCCGAACAAGCATTTGAAATTCCAAGCATTTATTTGCGTATTGCTAGCCCTTTTGGTGTCTATTTGCATGTTTGTCTGTCTGTATGTCTGTCTGTCTGTCTAATTATTTATCTATATATCTATCTATCCATCTATCTGTCCGCCTACATTTGGGTGCTCTCATGATCACTCCCTTAAATTGAGTACACCAAAATGGGTACAGGAGGGTCAGGTGATTTGACGAATCCAGCGCACTGATCATGTCATGAAGAGCGCTGAAAAGTGTTTGAAGACATACGGGACAAGATCTTCACTATGCTCATGTCATAAGCAGCATGTTGTACTCGTCCTAATTCACCCCTGGTTGCGGGTTGTGCCACAGTCGATACACATTTTATATCTGCCGAGCAACACACATGTGTAATTTTAACGCATGAGCGTTAAAATGAAGCTTACATAGGCAGCGTTGATCAGGCAAAAAATGACCGCAGTTTCCCGAGTAGGAACACTGGTTAGCATGCGAAGCATATATGTTGAACTGCGATAAATGTGGTTTGTAATTTGCGACATGCGTGTCTGTTATGAGTGAACACGAGTGTACACGAGTGAACACGCACGCACGTATGCTGCGAAAGACGATGTTTATTGATGAGATGAGATCTTGAGCAGGATGGCTTTATGGTCCGTGAAGTGAAGAGTGAGTGGGTCTGGTTGCAGTAGTCGAAGGTCGAAGTTGGCAAAGACGTGATCGATGCACGTCCCGCGAACCGTGGTCGGATAATGTTTGCCGTCGTGCGTTGCTCGTTTCAGCGAGTGTCTTCGGAATTGCTTGCGGTTCCGCCAACACATTGGCTGACGCTATTGGAAGGGATGTCAGTAAGTGTGTTTGCGGATTCGTTAGCATACATTTTCACCAGCGACATCGGACGTGGAGCGACTACACAAACCAACCGACAACGGGCGGCGCGTCTCGACACTCGCTTATTTATAGCGAGCGCCGGCCCCGGCATGCGCATGCGCGCGTTAGCATACAGCTGGTGCACGTAAAACTAAAGGTCACGCGGCGCGCGGAGTGGAGAAGCGAGCGTAGCGCGCGCGGTGTTGAGAGGAGGAAAGGATGCACAGATGGCTGGCGGAGGAGGAGGGGAGGCTGCGGATGGCGACGGCGCATGACTAGCCCCTAGTATAACATGCTCTGCATGTAAAAACAAGTATGAAATATCAATGTCCCAGCACCAACCTTTTCATAGCGATTGGCATGGCAAAGAAGTATTGTACCACTTAGCAACGCCAGGTCTCCTAAATACCGTGCAAACAGGCCCTAATGTTTGTGAAACGTCAATTCTGGTAGCAGCACTGTCTATTGCAATTTAATATAGTTATAGCCGTCAATTGTAGTTGGGCGCCGTCCATTGAAGCTGATTTGCGTTGCACTGTTGAGGGCTATTATACTCGTGAGCCCCAGCGCAAGCATGAGCACTTCACATTAGCTTACCGCTTCTGGTGTTACTAATATACATGTTGCTGTTGGGATCGTTAAGTAACTGCAAAAAATGCTTATATAAAATATATTCGGCTGTTTAAGGTCTGTGTGCGCGTTGATTTGTAGATGTATTGAGCGCCACTTCATAACGTCTCGCTCAATCGAATTAAAAAAACACATTCTCCATGCATCCACATGCTTCGCATAACATCGTTGCGTGGTGGTGTCTCCGAAAGTGAAAAAACCATGCCGCAGTTGGTCTCAATTGCCGAATGGTTGAAAACAGTGACCAGTTGCACATTACATGCCAGGTGTCAGCATCATCTAGAAATTTCTCGCGGAAGGTTGGTAGCGACCTTGGCTGCTAAAAAAATTGATGAACGCTGTGCATATGGCGTCATCATAGCGGCTTGCTTTCTGGGTGAGCTCATGCTGTTTAAGGTCTTTTATTGTAGGACTTCAGTGGCATCGTATTCACGCTGTGGGCTTTGGTCTCTGCTTGTCCTGGGTGGCCTCTACAACAACTACCCAGTACCTCCACCAGATGTCACACAGTCGTGACGTGGAAGAAGGGAGCAGTCGGTGTCTTAAAGGCAAAACTCAATGTTTGGCGAAACTTGTGACCTTGAAACGAAAGCTTAAGTTACACAACAAAATAGACACAGCATAGTTATATAGGGAGATAAAGCGTTAGTTGCTGATAATGTGATCAACGTTACGGCCTGTCCTGTTTCATACTTCACCTGTCAATCTTTTCGGCACTATCGCTGGTGGTCGCACACGGCCGGGAATATGATCAAGTGGTCGCGCCTTGCGCACAATCTTAACCGAATGCTGTGCTCAGTCGTGAAGCTGCTTTTTGAACGCTACAGTGGCATCCGCGCCGATTATTGTTCACTGGCTTTACGAGCGTAAACCAAATACAAGAAAATTCTAACTAACGTACTTTGCAATACGGTTTTATTTTACTGCACATTTTACTTTGTTCCTGTACATGCTTAGTTCAGCACATAGCCTGCGCTATTGTGAAAAGAAATCTTTTGTTCTGTTTGAAATACCGAAAATATGGAAATATGCAATGCATTAGTTTATTGAGGACACTTGTATGATATAACATGAGAATACTGATTGGTAGGTATAGGTTTCCAGCATCCGATAAGCAAATTGGAGGGCTGACAATCAAGTGCATGGTCACATAAGCCTAATTTACACGTGTAATTGACTTCACATTTCATATGATCGAAACCTGCAGGAGAAACCGTCTGGAAAGAAAGAAAATAAACATGCGGTATTATGAATGAGATTGAACTGCGTTTTATGAATACTTTCTTGCATCTGCAAAGATTTAAATCATCGTGCATATTGCCACTTTGTTCCACACATATGTAATATAGTTTGACAGCTTTGATTACAGTAATACAAGACTCCGGCAGCATTTCTTTTCACCTAATATTGTTCAGTGACCGAATAATTCTGTATAACCTTGTTTATTTCACGTTAAAACGATAGCACCTAAATTTGTCCGGTCAGCCACTTATAGTACCAACTATGGTTGTTCGAATACACAGAAAGATACCGTACCAGGATCATAAATAGGTGTCTTTTTTCTTTCTGAACAGCCATCATATCGTCCACCAAGTATGGGTTTTAAGTTGATGTTTGGGGTTACAGCCACAAAAAGTGTGTATTGCTCAACACAGACCACGCTTGACTGCATAAAAAACTACCCGATCACTCAAGACCTTTTTTTTCTCATGGTTAAACGCAAGTAACAAACAGTCAAATTGATTCTAGAGGCAATAATCGCGTCAGCAAGAGCTTAGCAGCCACATTTATTGGAGAAACTGTGGGCGCTAGCTAAACTTGAACCCTCAAGGATCTTACCACTTCTACTGCGACGACGCTGGCTCTCGAACCCAGCTTCGTTGTCAAGCCAAGTTTTCACACTGCATAGGAGACAAGAAATGAAAAGTCTTCTTTGGCCTTGATGTCTCTATCAAACATTCGTCAAAGGCCAGTTCCCCAAAACTGGAATATAATGAGAACTACACCAGGTGCTACATCGACCCGGTGCTGCGCTGGTGTTTCTACAGAGTTTCGTCGTGTCTAACCGAACCCATTAAAAAACAGTTAGCAAAATATTACTGAACTAACCTTATTTAGGTGTCCCAGACACAGTCCTTACTAGTTTTAGGTATGAAAGATGAAACCTTATGTTTCCGCGAAGTGTATCATCACCTGAACCATGTCACAAAGATTGACATGTGTCCTAGTCAAAATTATTTATAGTAGCAATTTTGATGTGGTGTTCACAAGTCCCTGACGTGTGACCTCCAGAACGCCCAGGAGTAAGCATAGCTATTTAAAAGGTGCGTGAATCGTATCCTCTAAAAAAACATACCACACAAGAGGACCAGCGAATTCAATATCAATAAAGTAGAATATTACGTGAACAACGGCAACCAGATGTAAACGTGTGACATGCTACTACTGCACATATGATGCACAAAATGCGCACAAACGAATTGCAGAAGGTGTATAGAAGGGTCATTTCGTAGCGTATACAAAGAGAGATAGAGTGCGAAAACTAGAACGACAATGACCACCCAACAAAACGCTTGTTTTTTTTTGGTCATTCTTTCTTCGTGTTATTTTTGTGCTGTTCCTGCCTTAGAAAACAACATAAATAGGACGAGTGCGCACTAAAATCATTCATGACTCAACACTTTAAACACTGCTTGAACGCACAGCATGTACGCTCTGGATTACACAGGGTGAGCGCGAACCGACAATTGTCAATTTTTTACATCATTGTGTATGAACAGCGCGCTCCTTTCGCAAACACGCCCTCTTCAGCCCTCTTTACGAGTGAAGTGACTTAGTGCACATTGTAACTTTTACAGAACATTTCTGGTCAAAGCACACTACGTACAGGCGTACAACGCGTGAGCACTGTGGACCAGGAGGTGACTATAGTATTTCCAAAGGCCGAAGGTATTCTTCAACAGACAGTAATGCCACGGAATGTATAGGGAAATATTTTACACCCAATTGTAATCAAAATGTGAACAAATAAAAATGAGTGAGAAGACAACTTGCCGTGAGCAGGAGCCAAACCTGTGGCCTTCGAATAACACGTTCTATGCTCTATACCACTGAGCTACCACGGCGGCTATCCCACAGCCACTTTATTGGGTTTATATGTGAATTTAAACATAGGAGTGTCAGCAAGCGCCATCTGAAGTTATGGCGGTGAGTGTAGCACAGTTTTTGTGAGCTCTTTTGGAGTCACGTAGCACGTGAACTTATGACCAGCTGGCAGCTGACCAATTATCCCTCATATAAAACCTCATGGCACCAAGTCCGCCAGCACGAGACCCTCGTTATGGAATAAGGAGAATTGTACACATAAGGGCTCCTATTCCCGTGTTTTCACACACTTTAAATTTGATCCAACAGACAATGTTGCCACAGAATGTATAGGGAAAGTTATTAGACTAAATTGTAGTGTAAATGTGAAGAAAGACAAATGGGCGAAAAGACAACTTGCCATGAGCAGAAACCGAACCTGCGAACTTCGAATAACGCGTTCGATGCTCTTCCACTGAGCTACCACGGCGGCTATCCCCCCAGCCACTTTATTGGGTTAATATGTGAATTTAAACGCGTGAGTGTCAGTAAGCGTCACCTGCAGCAATGGCGGCGGGTGTGACACATTTTTTGTGCGCCCGTTTGGCGTCACGTAGCAAGTGAACTTATTACGATCTGGCAGCTGACCAATAGTCCCTCGTTTACACACACACACACACACACTCACACACACACACACACACACACACATATATATATATATATATATATATATATATATAGAGAGAGAGAGAGAGAGAGAGAGAGATACTGTAAGATGGCATCGAGTACACTCAAGACTCTCCTTTATTGACTCGAGTATGTGCCCCACAAGCTGAACTTGACTGGTGATGATGAGTATGTGCAGATGAAAAGATGGGACGCATAAATAATGCTCACACTTATTTTCCCCGCGCACTTGAGCGGCCAGCCCGGCCGAGACTTAGGCGGGAAAGGTACGGCGCACAAAGGGTTTAAGACGTGAAACGTGGACTATCTCGGAGGCACGGTAACGACGGTCCGAGGAACCCTCGACGGGAGTGACAAGGTAATTGACCGGAGATGTTCGTTCACAAACAACGTTATGTCCTAGAAAGCGTGACTGAAACTTTTCACACAATCCGGGTGTGCGAACAGGCCTCTCCAAAGTAGTACTTCATCTCCAGGACGGAAGGTGACGTTTCGACGAAAGCAGTCATAGCGTTGCTTGCGTTCTAGTTGACTGGCCTCCGTGTTGAGTTGAGCACGTTGCCGTGGCTCAGCAAGCCTGGAGACGAAATGTTCTGGCGTAGTCGTCGACGTTTTTGTCATTACATTGAAGAAAGAGGCGTCAATGGTGAATGTCGGCGCACGACCATAGACGAGGAAGAAAGGTGAATACCCGGTGGTTCATTGAACAGCGGTGTTGTGTGCAAATGTTACGAAAGGCAAGATTTTCTCCCAATTATCATGGTTCGGTCCGATGTACATGGATATCATGTCGATTAGAGTCCAGTGGAATCGCTCTGTCAGCCCATATGTCTGTGGGTGGTAAGCGGATGTGGTCTTATGAACTGTGCCGTAAGTTTTTAGGATTTCGTCGAGAATTCTTGACAGGAAGGCCTTGCCTCGGTCACACAACAACGCGTGAGGTGCACCATGACGCAACACAATGGCTTCTAAAAAGAAGGCGGCAACATCTGATGCAGAGCTAGTATGTAGAGGAGTGGTCTCCGCGTATCGTGTGAGGTGGTCGACGGCTGTGACGATCCTGCGGTGGCCCGCTGGCGTTACGGGAAGTGGCCCGACGAGGTCTATTCCGACAACGACAAAAACAAAGGTGTGTCGGTACATGGAATGGGTTGTAATAGGCCAGCAGGAGCTGAAGTTGGTCGTTTCCGGCGTTGACAAAGTGTGCAAGAAGCAACATAATTAGCCACAAAGGTAGAAAGACCACGCCAGAAGAAATGGCTCCTAACGCGGTTGTAGGTCTTTTGAAATCCCAAGTGTCCAGCAGATGGATGGTCGTGAAATGCTTCGAGAACTTGTCTTCGCAGCGAACGGGGAAGTACTGGCACCCACCGATGCCCATCAGCAATGTAAGTATAGCGCTGCAGGACGTTGTTCTCCAGCTTGAACTGCCGTAGCTGACGACGTAGTCGGGCGTTAGGTGGAGAAGACGAGCCATTCAAGTATCCGATGATGCGGGTACAGTAGGGGTCGTCACGTTGGCACACGGCAAACTGAGCGCTGCAATTAAAGATAGTGACCCAGCAACTGCCAGGGGTGATAACGTCAGTGAAGAGGAAGCCGCTTGATCACCTGAGGGGCATTCAGGATGTGCGGTTGAAGATGAAAGTGGCAGAGGGCAGCAAGAGAGAGCGTCAGTTTCCTGATGCTGTTTTCCGGACCTGTACACAACGTCAAAAGTGTACTCTTGCTAACGCAGTATCCAGCGACCGAGGCGCCCAGACAAATTCTTCAGCGAGGACAACCAGCATAGGGCATGGTGGTCGGTAACCACAGTGAAGTGGCGTCCATACAGATAACGTCGAAATTTCTGGATGGCCGAAACGACAACAAGACATTCCTGTTCTGTTATCGAGTAGTTCTGCTCCGCAGGTGTTAGTGCGCGGCTGGCATACGCAACCACTCTCTCACGTGAAGTGTCGTCGCGCTGCAGGAGGACAGCACCAATTCCGTGGCCGCTGGCATCTGTGTGCAGGAAAGTGGGTGCACTCTCATCGAATTGACGGAGGACGGGGTCTGATGTCAAAGCACGCTTAAGGGCTTGGAAAGCACACTCGCACTCGTCAGTCCACGTGAAATCCGTTCCTGATGTCAGAAGCTTGTGTAACAGCCCCGCCATGGCAGCAAAATGACGGACGAAGCGGCGGAATGAAGACGCCAGGCCCACAAAACTTCGCAATTGTTTTTGATTGCGCGGACGTGGAAAACTAATTACGGCAGCAACCTTGTCGGGGTCGGGTCTAACGCCGTCTTTGCTGAGAAGGTGACCCAATACTTTGATGCTTGTGCTGGTGAAGTGGCACCTTTTTGTATTGAGCTGTAGGCCTACGTTCGAAATGCGTGTTAGAACTTCGTCCAAAGGCTTAAGGTGCTGAGGAAAAGTAGAAGAATAAATGACGATGTCGTCTAAATAATATAAACAGGTTTTCCATTTGAGACCACGTAAAACAGTATCTATCATGCGCTCGAATGTTGCTGGAGCATTGCATAAGCCAAAAGGCATGACGTTAATTTCGTAAAGCCCGTCAGGCGTCGCAAACGCTGTTTTCTCTTTGTATGCTTCGCGCATAGGTATTTGCCTGTACCCGCATCGGAGGTCGAGGCTGGAGAAATATTCTGCGCCTTGTAGGAAGTCCAGGGCATCATCTATGCGTGAAACGCCGCATCGGTGAAGGTGAGTGACGACGTGAGAACCGGGAACTGCCAACTGGGTCAAAGTTCTGCGGAGACAGCGACCTACGTGTGCTGTTCGGATACAGCCGATGATAGGGTGGTCCAGTCGCGTAGAAGTCGTCCCGTTCAAGGTTATCGTAGCTTCGTCGTTCGTCTTGCTGACGGCGTCGACAAAACCTTGAAAAATGACCACGGATGCCGCCATAGAAGCAAGTCGGCCGCGAACTGCGCCAGGTGTTGTAAGGCTAGGAAGATGGTCGCGGTGCGAGTGATTCGAGCGAACCATGCACTTCGGGCGCTGGTAGCTGCATTGGGCTTTGCTGGGGCGCAGGTGTCCTAGCAGCGACCTGAGCATACGTTGGCATGGCCACATGATATGAGCTCGGGACAGGTGTGACAGTCATTGAGGCCACGC